TCATTTGTAATTATACATCTGTGACTTTCCATGTATATGTAGTATTTTTGTCTCTTATACTACGGAGTGTATTATTTATGCCTGCATTTAGGAATTATGATCTACTTTATGACACATACTGTTTCTTAATTTTGGTTGCTGTTTTGTCTCCTCTACCATATTGCACTTTGCTATTGATCAATTTGTATCTGAAAAATGTTTTGTACAATTTGTAGCATGTGGAAGCATGTCGTATTATTTGCTGCTGTGATTTTCAAAATCGTGGGAGAAATGGGATCAGTTATATTCAGTTCAGGTTCTCAATTCCCTGCTTATCCTATGACTCTAGCTGTTAAGTGCTATTGAGAGATATCAGAGGAGACTGTTTATAGAACTCCATTTACATTTTATCTCTCCAGTCTAATTATAAGCCTTGAAACCAAGTCTCATGCATCTTTATAACCTTTAGTCTGATTCTGAATAAATGGCACACACTTAAGAAATATTAAATTGAAATGTGAGGCTATGATATTTGTATTATATGAATTTCATATACAAATTTTGACTTATAATTAAATTTAAATTTAAAATAAATTTAAAGTCAGTTGGAATTTGCTTAAATGATCACATTTGAGTACATAAACTCATTTCTTAAGGAAATTCTGTTAGTTGAAGATGTAATATCTTAATTGTAAATTTGTTTTTATGTTCTAAAAAAATGAACTCAAGAAGCATGAGAACATGTGTCTCCCATTCTTTGAAAACGTGTATTTTTTAGTCCTAAGAATCTGCCTTACTGTTATGGCAGGAACAGATAACATTTATGTGACATATTGACCTGTTCAGCAGTTTGATTTTGTATATCTGACCTTCTCAAACCAGTGTTTGAATGTTGGGGACATCTTTGTTGACAACTAGAGAACCAAAAACACCAAGCTGATCCAATTTAAAAAGCTACTGACTCAGTTGTCACTTTATTATTTTACAAAAATGTTGTGTGTGTGTGGCCACTCCTTATTAAGTCCATTAATGCATTTCCAGAACCAGGTTATTTAGATTGACAAAACTTAAACATTTTCCTAGATATCCATGATAGCAAATAATGATTTCTTCCAGTCTCCCAGCAGCTACCTCCTGTTCCCATAAATAAATGGCAGCCAGCAATGGTTAGAAACAAAGAGCTCTCTCCCAGCCCGTGAATACAGTGACATTCACTCTGAGAGAAGCAGGGGCAGCTTTTTGAAAACCGACTTCTTCAGCTCGACAATAACACACAATGAGTTATTGACTTGTTTATATACGGAGTTCTTTTCAGTAACTAACTCTGACTCCCACAGTCTGGACAAATGATTGATTTCGTGGCTAGAGAAAGGGAAAGCTCTCTTGCTAAACTCTGTAGTGCAAACTACTTCTTTCCCATTTGTTCTGTAACAGAATAGAACCTTATTAAAATGCACTTTCCAAAAAGAAAAGAAATACCTGCAGCTGGTCTTTATAACCATGTTTTGTATAAATAAATAAGTAATTTGTCCCAGTCTTTTGTATGTTAACAGACCATTGGGAAACTTGTCAATATATATGAAAGCTGATTATCCTGTTGTTTATAACAAACTCTATTGCCTATATTGATTTGCATGTAAAACACAGATCTAAAAGTTTATTAATAGATATATGTTGAACCTGGTGATAACTTTAGCTGTTTAATAGACTCAATTTTCTTATTGGATTGGGTTGGTTGATTAAGGACATTGTACAGGATAGGTATTCCTTATAATAGAGAAAAGTACATATTAACCCACTGTTGAGAACAGTGTGAGTTTGGCTCTTTTATTAGGTTTTGACTCTGTAGATGATACCCATCTGGGATGTCAATATGAGTTAGAACACAGCAGTGTGTCAATTATTGTACCTTCTCTGAAGATACTAATCATTGAACTTACTTTAGGGATTTTCTCCGTCAAAATGGATTTTGTTTTCCTATCCAGCTGTAATTTTTATATAATCTGTGTGACTTTGTAAAAGCATACTCTTTTTTTAGGAAGAAGAGTTCAAAAAGGAAGTTATGATCTGTTAATGATGTACATAAATCACAGCCATTATGACCGGTTTCACCTGCAGGATGTATTGAACCTATTTTGCTGCCCACGGTGTTCCTGGGAAGGCATTTTGAACAAGAAAATATTTAAAAGACTTCCACAAAATTAAGAGCACTTTTAATTATAGTCACTAGGGCCATTGGTTTTGTATGGAACTATGTTACCAAAGTGTATGAAGACTGATATCTTAACCATTAGCAGTAAAATGGATGTAAATTGAAAGATTAAAAACATGGAAAATCATTTCATTGAAATTGGTTGCTTCAGGTCTGTGTGTGTGCATTCTTTTTATTTCTAAGCAGATTGTTTAAGTTGTGTAACCTTCTTATCTTCTGTTTAACGAGATCATTTTCTTGAACTACCTTTGTTCCATTTTCCTTGACAGAGCCGTCCTGTTTGTTTCATCTCTTTCTGCTACTGTTCGTGATTAGCCATTTGATTGTTCTATTCTGTTTCCCATTATTATTGAATAACCCAAGTTTTAATGTAATTAGAGATGGCTAGTGTTGGTTATTTTAAAATCTTAGCAGCAAGATCTAAGAAGAATGGCAGTTCAGCCTTTTAGGTTAGTCAGATTTATGTGCACAATGAATATTAGGGAGCATTTGTTCATGTTTAAATGGGAAACAGGGACTTTTTGTGCTGTAGTGGGTTGGCTACTGCTTGGGATACCCACATTCCATATCAAAGTGCTGGTTTGACTCCCAGGGTTATGGCTTCCGGCTCTGCCCTGGCTTAGACCTGGCTGTTGTGGCCATTTCCAGAAATGAACCAACAGAATGGAATTTCTGTCTCTCTCCTTTTTTTCTGTTAACCTGCCTTTCAAATACTATAAATAAATAATTTTTTTTAAAGATAAAAATCAAAAAGACAGCTTAGTTTTAAAACAAAGTGACTTGGCTCTCTTGTCTTGGTTTTGTGGGGTTTGATTTTTCACAGTCATACACAAATTTTAGCCATCTTTTAGCTTCTTTGGGTTTTTTTAATTCTTAAAGATTTCTTTTTTAATATGTGAAAAATCAACCACAGAAACCTCAGCCTCATTGACAGGAAGATTATTTCATATATTTTAGATAAGAGAAGCACATCAAAACCATCTAGTTTTGTCTTAAATAAATATAATATTCTCATCAAGAGTGACAAGAAGAGTCCTACTAATTTTTATCATGCGGGTTTTGAGGGAAAGTTGTTATTAGCACTGCATATTATTAATACCTCAGGGTGAAAATTCACTCTTAATTTGACTTTTGACTATCAGTAATTTTCCCTAAATGAGTGCATTAAAATGTATCTCTTTGGGGGTGACTTTTCTGTTTCCAGAAAAAACACACTGTATGTATCCTTATATTTATCATTCTTTTTCTGTCACATCGGCATCTGATTTGGGGTCTGTACACATGATGCTTTTAGTTGATGTTGTTGTACCTCCCTTCATCCCCCCACCATGTGGGTGAGTAGAGTGCTTCTTTAGAAGTTGAGCATTAGAAGAAAGGTGATTCCCCTTTCTCCACATCCCACCTCCCAACTGTGGTGCTTTGAAAGGTAAAGAACCCCCACTTTGAAAGAGTTGATTTGGAGCAACGCTAAATGTCTAAATGTCGTGGCCCTGGGAAACCTCATTAGAATATGTCTTAGTCTGCTGTGGTACTGTTTTCATGACTTAGTTTTTGTTTTGTTTTTTATCCCTTTAGGAAACATGTGTTCTGAAAGTTTGTGCACTTTAAAATAAATTGTGTAAAAAATAGATGGCCATGGCTAATATTCTCTGGTCATTCTCTTATTCTCATCTCTTCCTGAGATGAGAACTCCCCTGGTAAAGAAATAACCAGAGACTTAAGGCCAGTAAACTGTGCCATGGTTCATGCACAGGCTTTGAAGTGTGGGACTTGTTTTTATAATACTGTTTTTGTTCTTGTTTTTAACACATGCCAGTACACATTACAGCTAGGATGGGGTGCCAGCTGGGTTGGGCTAGGCCTTAAACCCCACCTGCAGGAGCTGGAATTGGGGGTGCATCCACTGACAAATGCGACGGCAAGGGGGTCAAGCCAGACTGGGCCACAGTACCCAACCAATACGTGAGAACTGGGGGAAAATGGGGAGCGCTGGCAGGGGAATGTGGGCTCCCCTGCTGGACAATCACTCCCACTGGAGAGCATGAGTTGGGATGGGGGCAGACCAGACCAGGCAGGGCAAACACCTGTGGGCCTCATGTGAGCTAGATCTGCTACTTTTCCCGGTGCGTTAGTGTTCACAGGCGTGATACTATTCTTCTGTAGGCACAGTTAGATAGAAGAGGCTGTAATTGTGGAAGTCCCACTTTCAGTCCTTCAGGTGTATGTAAACTAAACATTCATGTAAGCTCAAACCAGATTTGTTAGATATACAATTGAAAAAGCCAAGTCAAGACAGCAATATTAACAAATAAGACTTCCAAAAATCCAAAACGTCCTTATTCACTTACTTCATTCCTCAAAAAGCAGTTACTGTATGAGAATTTATTGTTTGACAATTGTTAAATGTTTCAGTTTAGAGAATTTCCCATCAGGCTCTTGTACTATTTTCCTATTAATGTCAAACAAGCAATGAATCTTACTGTGAGAGTTCATTTTTTCTCTTTTGTTGAAATAGTATTGCATCTATACAGGGATTATTTGTGTACACATATATGTGTGTGCATGTATAATGAAGCATCTCTTAGTTCTTCATACATGTGTAGTATTTCATGTTATTAATCTTTTAAATAAGAGTCAAATTAAAAAATATAAAAGTGAACTTTCAATATATTAAATATAAATGCAATTCATCATAATGTAAGTCTTGGCAAAATTAATAAATGTTAAACCACATTTATGATTATGTTACATTACTTTGAATAATTGTTGTGATTAGGTGCATGCTTTCTTGTCGCTTAGTTTTTTCTAGTTGAATCTGGCCATGAATGAGCAGAAAGAGAAAATTACACAAAAAATAATTTTCTTAATGTCAGAAAAAGAAAACCATGAGGTGAGAGAAGTAATGATTTTAATTTGCAAATTGTATGATAAAACTAATATGAACACTGATTTTTTTTTAAAGATTTATTTATTTATTGGAAAGTCAGATATACAGAGAGGAGGAGAGACAGAGAGGAAGAACTTCTGTCCGATGATTCACTCCCCAAGTGAGCGCAATGGCCGATGCTATGCCGATCTGAAGCCAGGAGCCTCTTCTGGGTCTCCCACGCGGGTGCAGGGTCCCAAAGCTTTGAGTTGTCCTCGACTGCTTTCCTGGGCCACAGGCAGGGAGCTGGAAGGGAAGTGGAGTTGCCGGGATTAGAACCGGTGCGGATATGTGATCCTGGCGCTTTCAAGGTAAGGACTTTAGCTGCTAGGCCATGCCGCCGGGCCCAAATGCTTTTATATTAAGATGAATTTTACTTTGGGATTCAAGCAGGTGAGCTGTTGTTCACTGATAATGCTTACTATAGAAATAAACTGATCCAAAATGGGAATGCCTTTCTTTATCAGCAACTTGGAAAGTAATTTAATATTTGAAAGAATGAATTAACTTATATTTTTGTGAAAAAGTCTTCTGAATAGTTTCTTGTAATTTTATAAATTTTATAATTAGTAAATTATAGAACACTTGAAAATGGAAATTCTAAGCATGACTACATAGGATAAAATAGAAAATTTTTAAAAATTTAATAATAAGGATTAAATCATGTTTGTTATCTGATTTTCTAAGAAAGTATTATTGTTTTGAACTTTAGAAATGCTAGCAAAATTATCTTTTATAAAGGGAAGACTAGCTTACAAGTGTCAAGCCTATGAGCTAATCATAAGTTTCTGTAGGCAATATTGTAATGAAGAACTATTAAATCAAAGTTTCTTCTCCACCACACGCGTGCTGTGAAGTTGACAGCATATTCCATAAATGAAATAATAACACAAAATTGGTGTTAGAAGAAAATGGGAATAATTTCATAGTGTTTCCTGGAAGGCAAAAGCATTTAATGTTTTTGAGAAAAGAGCAGAAATGTGTTAATTTGCATGCATGACTGTCAGTAAATAAAGTCTACTAGCAACTCACATACTAAAATACTTTGAAATTTTTAGAAAATTAGCATCTCATGTAGTACTCTTTTGACATTTTGGTAAAGAAATTTATCTAAGCTTTAGAGTTTTAACATTTGTGTATCATGGTTTGCCTCCTCTTTTGTAAGAATGCATTACAATTTTATAATTAGAGACTCCATTAGTAGTTAGGATAGATAAGACCAGTACTAAAAGACTGTGTCACAGACATTGTTGAACAATCTCAGGAGAAAAATATTTCAAAGCAAAAATTAAGGTTGAATAATTTCAAAAAAAAGTAAGTTTTAATTATTTTGTCATTATAGTAGTCTGATTGATTAATCCAATTAACAAAAATATGAGATTATTAGCTACACATTTTAAAATATCCTCCACATCTCTAAAAAAATTTTTACCAAAGAGTTTTTTTAATTTTATTACATTTGCCTAAATTAGGATGAATATATCATACTTTTGTAATCCTTGCAAATATCTGTTGCTAAATTAGTACAATGAAAATTTTGTCTGTAACAACACCAATTATTAATGAGTTTAAATAAGAAATGATTCAAAAGGTTGACAGACTAAGTATTTTCTCTTTTTTACACATTGTAATTATTTGCCTTTGATACGTTATGCATAATTCAAATTGCAAATACATCATTCTTACTGCTACTTATTTACTGAAAATGAAATTATTTTTTAAAATGTTTATATAGTAGTTATGATTATTTGACATGCCTTCTTTATTATCGTCATTTTTAGCATTTTTTTTCTCTTTAGCACATTATACTTTAATTTCCCTGCTAAATTGTGCCTTACTTGGTTACTCTTTTGCTTTATCAAGTAGAGCAGGAATTTCCTTTTGTTTCAAAAGACATTTAAACCATGCAGGAAACATGTATTCGTGTATGTTTAACTGTGTGTAATAACCTCCAAATATATTTTATGCATTTTAAGTAGAATTCTATGTGCTTGTTTGGAAAGATATTGTATTAATTTGTATGTTTAAAATCTAATGTTTTGGTTAGAAAAAAGTCAGTGATACTAAATTTCATTCTTAATCCACACAGAAAGATGTGAAATCCTGATGGAAAAAAAAATAAGTTTTTTTTTTCATCAAATGTTGCATGCCTAGATGTTTCTCCAAACACAAATTAAATATTAGAAAATATGGCATTAAGTACCTATTCTGCCTATAGTTTTATCTTAAACTCTTCTATTTCATGTAACTTTCCACATGAAAACTGGGACTAATGAGAATATAATAACACCACTTTGAAATTATATGTGTCACAGGACATTCAACCTTTTGGAAATCAGTACTTAGTTTACTATTGAGACGTTATTTTAAAATTTTTTAAAATTTATTTTAAATATTGTTTACTTAGTTGGAAGGGATGTTACTTAGTTGGAACTCCTGGTCTGTTGGGGTAGGGAAGGGAAGGGGACCACTCATTGCTGTCCAAGTTAGCAACTGGAGACGGAGGACGGCATTTGGTGACACCTACAACAGTTCATTCTGTATTACACGGTTTTTACACACACTCATAGCTCTTGCCGCTTAGCTCACCCTGACCTGCCCCCAGACCTGTGTCACACATGTACCAGTAGGTGCTGCTGTCTTGAATAACCTGGCCTGCTCCCATTTCTGGCTGTCGTGCTCACCGGTGGGAACTGCAGCCAAACAGCGGAGTGGTCACAATCCCCCTATCAGGCCCACGCCTAACTCCAGATCTTGTGACTGCTAGTGGGTGCTGTGGTACAGTCTGACATGATTTGTGCTCAATCCTGGCACTTGTCAGTGTGTGTGACAGCCTAACCCAGTCTAGCTAGTCCTCAGATCCAGCTGATGGATGCTGCAACTTTGCTTGAACCAGGCTGTCCCCAGTCCCAGCATTTACACTCACCATTAGAAACAGGGGCCCAGCAAGGGAGTCTCTGAGATTCCCCTTCTTGGTCTGCTCCACTTGTCCATGCCAGTGGGTGCTGTGGCTCAGTCTTGACATTCACCAGCAGGTGATGCAACCTAGCCCAGCACACCTAGTCCTAACTCTTGCCACCAAGTATAGCAGCCTGGCCCGCTCCCAATCTCAGACCTCATGTGAACTGGCAAGTGTTGTAATATAACTCAGCCTGGCCTGCAACTCATTCTGCCTCTTGCACATGTCAGTATGTGCTGTGGACTGGCCCAGCACAGCCTGCTGCCAGGCCTGGGTCATAAATATGCCAATAGATACTGTAGCTTAGCTGGGCCTGGCATGCCCCACTCCCAGCTCTGGTTCTTGTGCTCCCCAGCAGAAGCTGTACCCTAGTAGTGGAGCTCCCCAAGTTTCCCTACAAGGCCTGCTCCCAGCCTCAGATTTCACGCATGTCAAGGAGACGGTGACCATACTGGATACGGTCTGTCCTCAGTCCTGATTTTTGCATGTGCCAGCAGGTGTTGCAGCCTGGTCCAGCCCTGCCACCTCTCAATCCTTGCTCCTACGAATGTTAGGTGAGTTCCATGGTCCAGCCTGGCTTGGCCTGTCATCACTCCTAGGTCTCACACAAACCTTTGAGTACTGCAGTTCCACAGAAGTAAGCTTACAAGTCCCCTAGAGAATCTGCCCCACATGTGATTCTCTTGTGTTCCAGTGGTTACTTTAGTGCAGCCTGATGTTACCCATGCCCTGCCCTGACACTTGCAGGTGGACACTGTAGCCTAACCCAGCCAGGCATGCCTCCAAGCCTCAGCTTTTGTCAGTGCCAGCAGGCAGTGGGTGATGCTACTTAGCTTAGTGTGGGTCCCTCAAGATAAGTGACTCGGGCTGACACAGTCATGCCCTCCAGTTTCCTTCCTCTAAACCACCCTGTTTCAACTCCCTTGCCTACCTGCAAGTGCAGTGCCTTGCTCTGTGAGGCCCCCAGAAGTAATTTCTCCCCTGTACAACATGCCTTCAGCCACTCACACTCCAACACATTCCCACCCCCTTCTCTGGACAATCTGTAGCCTCCTGCCTACGGGTCCAGGGGCACATGCCATCCAGCATTTCCTACCTTCCTCACACATCTTTAAAAAGATAGAATATGCAACTATGCTGACATGTTGGTATAGTTAACACAAATTTGGCATTAACTAAGATCAGAATGCCTATCAGCTACTGAGTGCTTTTCTGTCAGCACTGTAACACTTGCCTAGGTACCAGGCAACCTAGTCAGTTGCCTACTGCTGGGGTATTGTCAGTTTAAAAGCATTTAATTTCAGGTTCTCTGAGAAGTAGATACCAAGATAGGATCAAATGTGTCAAGATTTTATTGAAAGGATTGTTATGAGATAAAATAGTAGTGTTAGATAAAGATGAGGGCTCTTCCAATTTATAGGCCAAACTCCAAATGAGAAGAGAGAAAAAGAAGATGTGACAAAATTGGCCAGCAAAATATTCCTGTCACTCCCAGAAAGGATGGGCCTTATTGTATCTTTAACCGTTGGAGCCAATATGGTGATAAATTTCAGGGCGCAGTAGCTGAGTCCCTAAATTAAATATGTTCTTGTAAGTTAGAGGCCTGTGAGACATAGTGAACCAGCACATTGGAAAAGTTCACTCCACATTATTCTCATTGGTATCAGCATAGCCCTATTTCTAAATGAATTACAAAAACATTTGAAATGTCTTAGTCTTCAACATTAAGAATGTTACATTGTTCTAGGCCCAAAGGTAACACTTAAAGGGCCTCTGATTGAAAGCAAGATAGATCTACTCCCAATGTGTTTTCTAACTTGGAAAGGGTCTAGGAAACAGGAAGCTATTAAAATGTGGTGGTAGTTGAGGTACTAGGATTAAAACATGTTATACACATTTAGGTTGTCTGGTAGCTACACTGCAGCTCATCTTCCATAGCCAGTTTGCTCATAGCTTTCATGTCTTCTTTCATAAAGTCAAAATTGAGTTAGCCTCTTAGGCTGATAGCACCACA